CCTCGCCCGGCTTCGCCACGCCTGGCACGTGATGTCCACAAACCATCTTCTCAGTGTATCCCCAATCCAATCCATCTCAACTCTCTTCTTCTGCATATTTGTTGGATGATGGGTTCTTCGTTGGTTGGTTGGTTGGTCAGTTGGTCGGTTAGTTGCCAACCTGAGTTCCTCCTCACTTATTCTTATTACGCTCGCCATCTATCTCATCCATATTCAGTGTCGAGTGAGTGAGAGATTGAGTGAGTGAGTGAGTGAGTGAGTGAGTGAGCGAGCGAGTGAGTGAGTGAGTGAGTGAGTGAGTGAGTGTAGGCGTAGACGGTAGCTGTTCATGTGATGTATGTGTGTAGTTTGTTGCAAATGCTTTTCGTAAGACGCCGCCAAGTCTCTCAACCATCACATGGAAGCACTGACTGACCTGACCGAATTAGTCTTCAAAATCCGGATCTTCTTCACACCTCATGCTGAGTGCACTGCACTAGATCTCCACACTGATTATTTCACATTAGTGAAGGTCTCTCTTGCTGTCTTTCCAATTCTGGCTTTCACATCTCCATGCTTGCCTGTGCGTGTGCCGCCTGTACTTGTAACAATGCTGCCTGACGGCTTAGGTAAGTGGGTAGGTAATTAGTTAGTTAGTTAGTTAGTTAGGTAGGTAGGTAGGTGGAAGAGACTACTCCCTTTCGATTTCCCCCGTTGATGTGGATTGGTGCTTGTCATCGTTGTTACTGTTGGTCGCAGATCTTCATCACCTGTGTCTTCTCTACCTTCACCTGAAGGATGTTCCGTCTTCGTTCGCTGCCTCATCACTGCCTCGCCTCTTCTTCCACCTTGTCAGTTTTCGCCTGCAGATATTCCACTTCCTGCGACATAACACATCACACATAAATCATCATCGGAGAAATCTAAATCGTGTAGGGTCTCTTCATCGGTCAAACAGGCTATGCCCATCTCCTCATAGCTCCTCACATTTGTCTGCTGCATGATCCAGTCTTGTCCAGTCAACCATAATCAGGAAGATCATAGGTGATGATAGTAGGCAACCATATTCTACTCGTGTCTTCACTTGAAAGGCGTCGCTGTGCTCCTCATTGTGAATCACTTGGCTTGTATGTAATATCACCATCATCATATAGCTGTTGAATGAGGTTGGTAAGGATTTGTGGCGCTTCGTAATGTTGAAGCAGCTGCCAACTATAGCTAATACTCATCGGTAATTATACAGTTGTTGTGTCACATGTGTGCATCTTCTTGTGAAAACTGGTTTGATAAATGCATATTTAAGTAGTGGGTAGTGATTGAAGGTGAGATGAAATTCTGAACCACAGTCGGATTCGAACCAGTGACTACACGATAGAAATAGCCCTGGATACTGAGTGATGATTGAAAATAAGATGAAAATTCAGGATGCGACCTCCAGGTTACCAAACAATGTCTATAAAAATTGGTTTGAAATTCGCTGTTGTGTACAGTGTTCATCGTATTTCACATTACAGTCAGACTTAGTGACTCCAGATTTTAGCTATATTTCTTGAGGCGAAAGTGACGTTGAAAGTTTTTTATATGAACATTCACAGCTGTTTCCAAGTGTGAAGATGATTATGTCACAAAAATGTAACTCACTGCCAGTGTTTCCTTCTTAAAATTAAAGTACTTAGTTAACACTTTTCTGTTACATGAACAAGCTGATAAGATATGGAGTCTTCTTAAAACTATGAGCGAAAATTCGCAGATTTTTACGATATAATCGTCACCCACTGTATGCGAAATGTTTCTCTAGGACAGGTTCCCAACTGTAGTCAGTTTACCGATAGGGAAAAATTTGATGAGTAAGTGCTTTGAGATCCATTGAGCGTCGTCAGCTCAGAAAAACCAGACGATGGGTGAGCAGAGCACAACTATTTACATTGAAATCTCCTACATTAAGGCTTTTACTCGTAGAATAACATTGTAGCAACTCCAGAAGTAACCGAGATCTATGAGGGCCTACCTCTTTCTCAGTATATGGTTGCTAGCTGTATCCCTCACAACTCAGCCACTCAGACAACTACTTACATGCACTGACTTTTAAAATACTCTTATTCTTTCATTATTACTGCCGAGTAGAGGTACTTCCAGTCAATCTTGCAAAACCATTTAACATTTCGTTGGTTACAACCACATACCAATTGATCAGGTAAGAATCCATATTATCTCATAGAATGGATATAAGTAGTATGTGTTGAGAGGATGGCAGAAATCATAGGAAATTACCAACAATCGGTAAGGATACCGTCAAGAGAAACGCAAGAGACAACACAGGCGTATGAAGAGTTAATCAAGAAAGAACCAGAAGAGGAAATGAAGCACATTTTGCAAATGACGGTTTTAGTGTAAGGTGTACTATATTTAACGACTATTGTTTCACTTGTTGACAATGGACATTCCTTCCTGCATACATGTCTTCTTACTTCTTTCAATAGGATGAAATCGTAAGCTTGAAGACGACAAGGCCAGAACGCTACATCAATTCCCGAAGTCTAAAACTTTTGGTCTAAAGTGTGTAAGTATGTCGAACGAAATGTACACCATGAATTCCACCAGTTAGTTTCAATGTATTGTATCGATGTATTGTATCAATTGTACTGCTTCGACATCACTATGACAGGACAGCACAAAAGATGTTACCATTTGGTTTTTGGACAGAAATTGAAGTCGAAATGCACTTTGTGCAAATTCTTGCAGTAGCCAATGAACCGCACCTATTGTCTGATAACTAATGATAGTACTATCTAGCTGTCTAAACTTCAGTAGGTGGAGTTGTGCTCTAACCTATGATCAACAGGTTGAAAGTCAACTTCTTAGATGTAGTGATACAGAAATGTATGCCTAGTTATCGAAAATCACCCAATACAAATAGGATAGAAATGCAGAGCTTCTGATCCCTATACTACGTACGACTCAAGATTATCTTTCATGGTGGGAACAATTATCTTCATGATTTACTGTAAATATGGACATCTTTGAAACACTGGTAAATCAATATCTAAATTCAGCTCAACTCTACTAACCTATTTTAGCATAAATTCAAATAGCAGACTTAGTTATTTATAAGTGAAATAATTATAGTTCTAGAAGATCCTTATGGTTAAGGAAATAAATTTGTTTAAAAGTGTAAATAACAAAAAAGAAACATGAAGAAGACTGATTCAGAATAAAACATAATTAATTATAAATTAAAAAAATTTTGTTGAAACAAAACGATTTTTAAAAAAAAGACATGAACTCACTCTAGGGGAACCCTGATAAAAGGGAATAATTCATAGTTCATGCAGTAAAGAAAGGGTGATCAACTAAAGTAATTTATCACTTGTTTGCTTGTTTACTTAAAGTATATCACTTATTCTTAACGATTACAATCGACTACCAATTTCTATAGAACAATCAGATTGAATATGTTTTTAAGATGTTTATTTTTAGGGTAGTATTCAACTCAATCTGAAAACTTTGGAGTACTAGATAGCCATTTCTTCTTAATATAGGACTCCTCAGCAGTAAGCAAATCATGACCCTGTTTTTCAATAGTTCTTCAAATGATTTCCGTCTGTAATGAATATCAGTCTTCAAAATAAAACCTCAAATTACAATATGTGTATTTAGGCATACCACTGGACACCTTAACAAATGTATTGTTCACCGCCTTACGTCGTGTTTTGGAAAGGGATAAATGGAGTAAATACAACAAAGTTCAATTCTATCAAATTTAGTTGATAGTGGTCATGTCATAGATAAGCATTCTCAAAATCATTTTTTGTGTTCACAAGCTACTCTTAATCTTTGCATTGATTAAAGAAAATATAATCAACAATTTCAAAGATAAATTTAATTTTCCAGTCCCTTTCCTTTTCTTCACCCCTTTCATATATATCTGCCTAAACTGTGTTTATCTACATACTTCATATCTTAGTACTATCCAACTTTTATTTTTCTAAGTTCTGACCTACATTGATGAGTGACTTTAAAAGTCACCTTAGCAAGGACCGAAACAACCAATTAGGTTTCTTTATTTCGGTTAGACATGCAGGTGTTCATAGAATAGAGGAATCTGATTGGTTATTTCAGTTGTTGCTAGGATGGCCTTTAAAACCATCCTACATTGATTGCTTAAATGTATACAGTGCTATGCTGTTCGCATTATTCTTATCATCACTAGGCTAATGGTAATCATGATCATAATAACAATAATTATTATTATTGGTTTGACTTTCTGAGATAGATGTGGTTTGATAGACGTGTTGTGATTGGTTGATATTTGAAGGTGAAAGGAAAATCTGCACCTCGGGGGGATTTGCACCAGCCACCACCGGGCCTGGATATTTACAATTTGCATACTTCATTTCCTTGTTATCATGGACAAAACAATCCACCATCGTTGGTTTAACGTTTTACATGTTAGAAAATTTATGTTTATTGGAGTAAAGCCTTATAAGAGCTAATTGAAAACAGTATTACTCGCATATGTGCATTTTTCTAAGTTGAACGTCTAATCAGTGTGTGTATATGTGAAATACAGCTTATATCCAACTAGTTAGAAACTACATCAACTAACTGCTGAACTGCCCTAACAAGGCAGATAACAGTTAAACTCAAGTATGATGTGTAACTAGAACATTAAAAGATTGAAGAGAATCTTGGTAAAGTTTCGTTATAAAGTGTTTAGATGTTTAGTAATACAGCAAACAAACAACCAACCAACCCAACCAGTTAGATGTCTGTGCATTAGGGTATGATCCAAACTAAATATATGAGGGTTTTTATGGTACTACAAGATTGTAGAATTTGAAGCCGGAATATATTGCTTGAAAGTCAGGTGATTCAATCAATGCATCCCATCAGTCAAACAACTAGATATTCTACAAACTGTATTCATGAGCAAAAATTATGAATACTGTAAAGAAACTGTTAAAATAGAATAATCACTATTAAAAACTAAGAAGAAAGAATCGATAGTGAGAGAAACTTACGACTATTTTGGCATTCAGAACCATCAAATCCACATGGAGGAGTATGCGGTGGAGGTTTATTATCTGTATTTATCCAATCAATTGTTCTATCAGCCACAGGTGACAACGATTTATCATTACCGAAATAATTTACAACAACCTTTATAGTGTTGAAAATAAAGAAGAAATAGATTATGAAAATGAACAAATTAATTGAAGCATAAGAGAAAATTTAAAAAAAGGTATCAACCAAATATACACAGTTTAAAGTGCTAGTAGCTCAGAAATCTTTATCATAGGCTTGGGAACTAAATGACTGGTTTAATGAATCATAGAAATCTATCAGCAAAGTTTACACATCTGATCGTAAAAGAAACAAGTCACAAACCTTTCCAGTAAATCAATAGGAGCCTGTGTAGTAACTCAGATCATGCTAACAACACATTAGCATGTATGTCTGCTATTTTTTAAATATTACTGAGTATTCTTATCGTTTAGTGATTCATTCACTCGGTTGGTACAACTTTCATGTTAAACAAATCGATAACGGCTTATGATTCTGGTGCTGTTTGTGGAATCTATAATATATTACGTCTGTCCTAGTTCATAATCATCATCTGAGCTTAGTTGTACCTGTGTTGAGGACCTGAATGAAACTGAAACCTGGAGTCTTTTCTTTAAACATTAGAGCTGCAGAAGCTGACACCAGTATAACGGATGTTAGTTGTTGTTAGACTTCTAAATTTCCACTATTCTTTGGGACAAAGGAAGATGATACCGTCATAGAATACACTTAGTATATGGAAAAAAACAGTTACCCACATAGATAGATGCAGTTAAATAGCGGAAAAACTAAATGAGCAGATAAATACTTTTCACTGGTGAAGCCATAAAACTATTACAAGTTTATAGATAGAGAGACAAACAGCCGAAATCAACGTAGAACTTCGCCCACAGGTGCATCAGCTCAGCTTCCTACACTTCACAGTTGTATACAAAGAACAGTTGGAGTGAAAAGAGTGATATCATAGTAGACAAAATTATGTGAGAGAATAAACAATATGGATATAAAGGTTAGTGCAGATATCCAAGTTTACAAGACATCAAATAGTGAATACATCTACACCACTGTCACTGATTTGCACTCATTTCACCACGAGTTAGTCCTCAAACACTCAGTCTCTCCTTCTCGAAGACCGTAGCCAGCTAGTATATATCTTCCAACACGACCCAGACCAACAGTCACAGTCTTCATCGACTGGTAGCGCGTCTTGATCTGGCCACCCTCAACTCTCTTCCAACCTAACCCAAACTTTCCCCAGCATTGCACATTTGTGTAGGTGATGGTTCGGCACGTGCAGTACATGTCCAAGCCATATCAGTCGACTCAGTTTCATAACCTCATTAATCAGCTTGCTTGTCTTGCCTAGTACCCTTCACCTAACCTCAACATTTCTCATACAATGACTGAAATAAACGCAAGCAACGCTGCGATGACATGTGTGATCGGAAGCCAGTAATAGTTTCATGATTCTATTATTTAACGATCATATCTCCAAGAGTAGAACAGGACAGGAGGAGTCGTAGTGTAGTATACTCGTTCTTTGATTGATAGTAGGATATCTCGCCAGTAGGGACCACATATGATGCAAGTTAAAAATTCCCGAATCACTAAACTTGGGGTGGTTGCAAACCAGTCCTGGAACATCATCCTATATTTGACAGGTGTGAGACGCATGTTGAGCATACACAGATTTCTGTTTGATGCGTTCAGAATACCCTGCATCATGTCAACGTCTGTATCTATCAGGACAATACTGTCTCATATTCCAAGTCAACCAGATGGCTTCCAGGGAGCGGATCAACCCCTGTGAAGTCGCAGGTACCTAAGCATATGACCTGTAGTACATCTGTGATGAAGTTAAGTAGCAACGGTGGCAGTGGATATCCCAGGAGGACACCACTAATTGTCGTCATTTCTGATGACAACTCTCAATAAAGAACCAAGGATTAGCTACGGTGCTTCCTAAATTCGACGTATGAAAGTGAATACTCAAAAATCGATTGACTGAAATTCAACAATCTCACTGATTTTATTCTTGTCATTCAGAAACCTCATCGTATTTCAAGTACATTATGAATTATTCAAAGATGTTATCACTCTACGAAGGTTACATTATACACTGAATGCTTATACAAGTAAGCTGATAAACATTTAATGCATATCACCGATTTCCGGGCAAATTGTGCTCATTCATTCCTGGAATACATTAGTAATAGTGTGTTTGTGACAACAGGATAAGGTGAGGCAGACTCGATTATAAAAGATAGAATCAATTACCTCATCTGTGATAAAAAAAAAGATGCTTCTGTCACAACAAGTACACAATCTAAGCGTGTAGCTTCTGATCGGTTGTCTCAAAACACCCAAAATAATATCTAAACTGGCTTAGAAGGGAATATTATTACTGCCTCCTTCAGTTTACAAGTAAATATCTGCTTCGTTCATTGCAAAATGTCACAAGCAAATGAGAAAGAAGATTTTTGCTTATTTCAGTTGCATGATTACTGAATACAAGAAGTGATTAGTATAGACTGTATAAACAATGGGGAAGTCGTTTGGTAATAATAATAATAATAATAATAATAATGAAGGCATTCTACGAAGTCCTAGTGATCATGTTTAATCAGATTCACTGAAAGCTATCTCCAACACAGTAGTAAGCATATATATATATATATATATATATATATATATATATATATATATATATATGCCAACATACAAGGCTGAAGGAGAAAATATTCCTTTTCCCAATTTCTTCCTGAAAAAGATACATTTGATATTCATATATTACCATTTACTTGGATGTGTGTACCAGCAGGTATACAGTATATGGGATAGTAACTGTAGCAATATTTACAGTTGAACAAGCGGTAACATTCACACATGTGTACAGACACAAACGGTGGAGAGGGGAGACGAAAGAAACTGTGAATACTAATCGATAAAAAGAACTTGATCGGAAAAAGTTGAACTGTCTAACAGATAACGAGGGGATAATAGTTTACATTGTACATGATAATATGTGCAATATTGATTCGATTTTGTGTAGTTTCTTTGTTTCATGTTAATATTTGCATTGATCAAGTACATTTACATAATGGCAAGCTTCATTGTCCCATATCATCGGATGGGTAAGTATAACTGATATTATATATATATATATATATATATATATATATATATATATATATATATATATATACCAGTTGGAATGGTACATTTTCGTGGCCCAGCAGAGGAGGCAAACAAATCAAACTCCAGTTGCTCAACCTCTGTCGGCCTGGTAGATAAAGTTTTGAGATTTGAAGCAGTGGGTACTGGGTTCGAGTCCCAGTGGAGACAACGCTTACTAGGGTGTAGGTATATCCATTTGGCGAGTCAGATGCAAATAGGATGAAACATACGTTTTGGATTCCACTGCGGGTTACCAAGATGAATTCAACTCGAACTCTTGCTTCTTCAAGTTCAGCTATATTAATAGTGTTGACGGTTGATGAAAAGAATAGCGATTGCATACTGTCGACTTATGTTGCAACTGCAATATCAAAACACACGATGCACTTTTCTTAACAGTAAGTTGGGTGAGTATAATTGGCGGCCGTCGATGATATGTCGCAATAAAACGAATCACAATGCCATTTATTTATCTTCCTTCCATTTTCCATAGGTATGCTTCTTTGAATAAGAATGTGATTCTATTTAGATCCGCTTTCGCCTTCCATGCTGCTCCTAAGTGTGGCAACTTGATACACTTCTATGACAGATTCTACGTGTCTGTCTGTCTATCTATCTACCTATTCTGCAGCATGCCATGTCAATCCAATAGTCATGATTATACAAATTCGATGAAGAAAAAAAAGTGACTTTGTGAAGAATTTAGAAAAGGTTATATAATATCATAGACAGTTTTGCACATTTCAAGATGGTACAATTCGAAAAAGAGGAATTTTCTACTATCATACGACCAATATATTTGGTGTATATACTTAGGCTAACATTTCCATGGAATAGATCCCTCATTTTGGACACCTAGACGGTAAAGACTATTATATATCATTGTTTATCCCTTGAGTTCCTAATGAAACAGGGCTTCAGTAGCACGTCCCCGGTGCACTCCGTTCTCTGCAATCTTTTGAACCTGGCTCCACGACAGCCCACAACCTCTCATTTCTTCTTCACACCATCTCCTCCATGTCACCCTCATCTAGGATGCCCAACTCGGCACTTCCCATCTGGGTTCCACTCGAGGGCCTGGCACATGATGTCCTCAGTCGGCCTTCTCAGTATACGTCCAATCCATCTCCACTTCCTTCCAGTGTATACTTGTTAGGTGATAGGTTCTTGGTTGGTTCGTTGCCCGAGTGAGTTCCTTGTTGCTGATTCTTTCTAGCCATCTGACCTTTAGTAACCAGTTAGCGTAGGCAGTTGTTGATGAATGTCTGTAGTTTGCTGGAAATCCCTTTCGTAACCCGCCAAGTCTCTCAACCATACAGAAGCACTGACTGGACGTTGGTGTTGAAAATCCGGATCTTGTTCCACATGCTGAGTGCAAAAGATCTCCACACTGGTTTCAGGCTAATGAACGCCTCTCTTGCTATCTTTTCCAATTCTGACTTTGACGTCTTCGTCTGTGCAACCTATAGTTGAGACAGTGCTGCCTAGGTAGGTGTAGGTGAAAGAGGCTACTTCCTTTAAGTTTCTCCCATTCATGGTGATTGGAGCTTGATGTTGCTGTTGTTGGTGGTGTTGTTGGTGCGATATCTTCATCACCACTGTCTTCTCTATATTCACTTGAAGTCACGTCTTCACTGCCCTGCCCTGCCCTGCCTCTTCTGCCAACTTGATAGTTTTCGCCTGTACATCCTCAAGTTTGTGTGACACCAGACATAAGTCATCGGCAAAATCCAAATCTTCTAGGTTCTTTTCATCGGTCCAGCGTATCCCCCTCTTCTCGCCCCTCACTGTTTGTTACATGATCCAGTCCACTGCAATCACGAATATCATGAGTGATAGTAGACAGCTTTCTTTTACTCCTGTCTACACTTCAAAAGCATCACTAAGCTTCCCATTGTGAATAAATTGGCATGTGGCGT